AACGTAAGCGCCATTTGGGGGTTCCTGTTTTGCTTATTTCGGATGATATGGGGGATAGTCTAGATGATGATTACGTCATTGGTAGTTATTTACTTTTTACACGAATGGCAACCCTCATATTGAAATTATAAATTAAAAGCAAAGACCGACAAAGAACGAGACATTATGGTATATGGAGAATATTAAAATTACAATATAAGAAAGATATAATTTAAAATGTTTACGTAAGCAAAGGGGGAGGGGGTAAGATCTATGCTTACTTTTGCTGACAAGGGGGGTGGGGTGGGGGGTAAATAATTGTAAAAAATCTGCTTACGTAATATTTGAATGGTTGTCATTTTGTATCATTTTAAAACATCATCGTCATCAATTTTGAACTGTATAATCGTGATCCCATTTAATTCATTGAATAATTTAGTGCAAGCCACTTTCTTAGTCGAGTTTGGTATTAGTCTTAGAACAGCAAGCGATTAAATAAAAAAATATGACGAGCATTTAAAAACATACATACTTTATATTGTTTTCTACAAAGTCTTTTCATGTGGTGATGATGATGATAGCTTGCATTAGTGTGAACCATCCCTCTAAATCCTACTCTATACTAATACGAACAAGGTTAATTTTCATTCGTTATCCAAGTCGCAGTACAGATATGAACGAGGATTTCCTAGCTGTGTCGCTAGTGTAACTAGAAATCTAAAATAAGCTCTATGCCATTAATAACAAAGTGTATTGTTGCAGGCCGCAGTACAGGCGTGAGCGAGGAGCGCGGCAAGCTATGGAAGGTGACGCAGCTGACAGGTTTTTCGGACCCCGTGTACGCCGAGGCCATCGTCGCGGTCAACCAGTACGACATCGTCCTCGACGTACTCGTCGTCAACCAGACCGGTGAGATGTAGCTAGATGTCTCAGTTTTTTTACTTTATTGCAATGTGATAAGGTTCAAAATAACACTTACGCGATCGAGCCGTAAAACATACTTCGTGAAATAACGAGCTAACTCGAGTAGTTTCGAGCCACACTAGGGACTCATAGTTATGTGCCGCATTGCGCGACAAATGATGATCGTTTGTCACACAGTTAACTCTGAATAAGTCGGAAAACATAGTTAATGTTATATGTCTCACGAGAAACAAAAATTATAAATGTATGTAGGTAACAGATTATGATATGTTCCCCTATGTTATGAAAAGGGTGGATCCTCTAACCAAACTTTTTTCCATCTTAATATTTATTATTGTTTATTACTTATTTATTTTCTATTATTATTATAGCAAATAGTGCTAAAATCAGCGCCGCGACTCGAGTTACCGCTCTCTAGTCACGGCATTACAGCTGAGCACTTGACCTTTTTGCGTCGTGCACAGTTTTACTATTTCTTATTCTATTAATGTTCTTCTTGTTTTTAATTTGTTACGGTGCAAATAAACAATTTTTCTTGCTTTTTTTTGGATTAGGAATTTGAGGATTTTTGGGGACTCAGGGATTGAGGAAGGGAGGGGTAATTGGGCCTCCGGTAACCTCAGTCACGCGACGAGTCACAACGTAAGCGTTGTTTCACGTCGGTCTTTTGTGAGGCCGTGGTATCACTCCGGTCGGCCCATTCGTGCCGAAGCATGGCTCTCCCACAGTAATGTGTGTGTCCAAGACATGTGCGAAAGAAGGTCCCTAACCAGTGGTCCATTCCAGACGACACGCTGCAGAACTGCTGCGTGGAGCTGGCGACGCTGGGCGACCTGCGCCTGGTGGAGCGGCCCGGCGCCGTGGTGCTGGCGCCGCGGGACTACGCCACCATCAAGGCGCACGTCAAGGTCGCCTCCACCGAGAACGGCATCATCTTCGGGAACATTGGTACGCATTTACTTTACACAACTATCTTTGATTCTGAGATAATATATGATTCTTAAGATTAATCTCAATCTAAAAATACTATTTTGATATACTTGCGGTGACTATTTTATAACCGAAACAAACCCCATAACCTCATTATGAACAATACTTGATAATATTACTAAAGTTAAATACATACAAGTAGATAGCGGGGCAAACTACTTCAATCTGTTCTTTTTTCGTTGAAATTTCAACTTTACAATACAAACAACAAAGTTGAAAATCGAATAAAAGAAGAGATTGATCTGTGTTTTTTAACAATTTTTTATCAGTTTACAAAGGACAGCGAATTATCTAAAACCAATAAGATCAATCAAAATTCCAATAGTTTTATTCGTGATTTAGTGTACGAGGTGTCGGGCGCGTCGATGGACCGCGGCGTGGTCGTACTGAACGACATCCACATCGACATCGTGGACTACATCCAGCCCGCGCTCTGCACCGACGCGGACTTCAGGCAGATGTGGGCCGAGTTCGAGTGGGAGAACAAGGTATCGTTGTACCTACCACCCATACAATATGTATTTATCCGAATTTATTTTACATCCAAAGGAAATGCAGCGGTATGAAAAATGTGAGAGACTCACGCTGAAATACTCAAACGCCACTCGAAACTTATTTACAAGACTCAAAAGTAGCCCTTAAGTATAGTTCCGTTACTACAAATTATTTGTAAAATGACAGAGATAGCACGATATTTAAGTACCCTTTCAGTGTTCGGGCGTAAGTGACAAAAAATATGAAAAATATTCATTCTAAGACCATCTACAGCAAGTTTCAATATCGTACCTATCTGCAGGTAGATTATAATTTGGTTAAAATTCTAATTTTATTAGGTAACAAGTGAAACAAGTGAATTTATTTCTGCAAATAGGCTACAAGGCATCACTTTTACACGTCAATAAAATAAAATAGGTTATTGGCCAATGCCAACGTAAGTAATAGGGTGTTTATAAAATGTGACGTGATATTTATTCACAGGTGTCCGTGAACACGAACATAACGGATCTGCGCGAGTACTTACAGCACTTACTAGCTTCTACGAACATGAAGTGCTTGACTCCTGAAAAGGTAACTACAGTCTATATTTTTTTTAGCTTTAAACCTTACTAATACCAACCGACGAACGAGAAAACGAAGATATATACTTAACGTATTAAAAGTAATTCGCGTATTAGAGGCATAACTAATACCTACCAAACTAAAACATGATGACTAAACTATTATTTATGACGTAACCAATGCCATGGCTCTCATAAGAAAATGTTACTTTTATATCGTTTACCAAATTCTTCTCATTTTAATTCTAAACCATTTTTTTTCATTCTTTGTCTATTTTTAGGCATTATCAGGTCAATGCGGCTTTATGGCAGCGAACCTATACGCTCGTTCTATCTTCGGCGAGGATGCTCTGGCCAACCTGAGTATTGAGACTCCGCTGCACAAACCCAACTCCCCCGTCGTTGGACATGTCAGGATCAGGGCTAAGAGTCAGGTATGTTACACGATTATATGAGATTTTAAGTTATTTTTGTAGCATAATTTTCAAAATTTCGTATGTTATGTATAAATCATTATATAATAATCTAGATTCTAAACGTAATAAGTTTCTCTAGAAGTTATTTAAAATTTAATGCTAGCGTGAGTCATAGTTGTGTTGAGTTTTAAAGACTCAAACGTAACCTTCAGTTTGAGCAATATGTACTGGATTGTTTCATATTGTTTCCGACATATAGTTTAGACGCAGTTCTTTAAGAAGCATCTAGTTGAGCTAATATTTATAGTGTTAGAAGTATTCCTCATTTCAATATTCCACGTGCAGGGTATGGCGCTGTCTCTAGGCGACAAGATCAACATGATGCAGAAGTCACCGCAACAGAAGACCCCGTCCAACCCCATCCCCGCCGCGTAAGGACATATTACCATATGTACAGGCTATCTAACAACTACACTGTCTGACACCATACTCGAAATTAGGCCTTGTGATTCTAATATTATCATTCAAAATTGGACTCTACGTCCCGGGCTTTGAATTTAATTTTCCGTGTGTGCTTGTGTTCTATAAATAAATTGCATTTATTGTTACTTACTGAAGCTTTTGTGTTTTATGTAGGCGAGGCTCGGCAAACGCCGGGGTTAGTAACACCAGGCAGAAGAGGAAGACTTAAACATTTGCTGTTATTTAACTTATTATTGAATTAATCCCTTTTGATCCCTCCATTTAGCACGACTATTTGTGATATGTGTGTTAATTACGTCGCGGGTGATACGAACGGAGCTATTTCTATAATTATCGACCAAGAAATTGAAGTCCAAACCTTCTCCTTACTGTCTTATCATTTATTTCCTCCTACTTAGTTTTGTTTTCTGTCGAATATTGCTTTTTGTATAAAATTATTATCTTCAGGCTTGTTCGATATTGTTGACTAATTCATTTTACTTTTAAAGTACTTGCGTGTGTTTAGCGATAAATCGAACAAGTTTAGAAGATATTTTTATTTATTAGTTATATGTGTAATTAAAGTAGTGTTTTTACGTAATCAAATTGCCAGGTATAGTTGATAAAAGTGTCAAGATTGTGTAGTTGTTAGTAAGTCTCATTGTAACACTATTTAGTTGTAATGAACATTTACTATTATAGATTTATTGTATTGAATATATCATTTAATTATAATTATATATCTTATTTTCTTTGTCTCTAAACCTGTTCTATTATTTATTATAAGCAGTGGTTGGTAATATCAAATAGCAGTCATTGACATCTTGGGTAACATTAGTTACACCGAGCTATCAAAGTGAAATGAATTTTCGACCTTATTTTTTCGTCACAAAGTTTAAAATTCTTTTGAAAGATTTGATGGTTGTGGGTAACTTGATGTGCTGTCTGTATTAGAAGTAAAATGTATGTATTTATATACTTAAACATAAAGAACATTCTTAACAAAATATAGAACGTTCCTTTTGGTTTCGATTATTCAAAGAAAAGTAGCCATCATAGTAATCATAGTATATTTTCCATAATTTTACTAGAAAAGCTTTCTTTATCCGTTACAAACATAAACATAGGTTGGAATACACTTAAACAAAAGGTAAAAATAAAAAACTCGACAGCCTTATGAAATAAATTAGTTTATTGTTACGTCATAGATGTTGATGACGTTCTAAGTGCAAAAAGTGTCCATGTTCCGTAACGAATGATTCAACAGTATAAATAATAAAAATAATTTATAATAGTAATAAGTTAATGGATTGGTTACAAAACAGTACAGTCCGACCCGTGAGTGTCGGCGGTCTAGCTTCCCTGTTCAATTCTTCTGCGTGCGTCTGGAACAAAAGTAACACGTGTTTATTAGTCATTGGTTATGTTACTAGACATTGTGCCGTGGAACTTTATAAGAAATAATATATTTATGTAGCATAGATTCACTAGAAACAGATGACTGAATAACTTTATGGTTTTGTAAATCCATCGCTAACGTCGTTTATTTCATCATTCATCAACTAGCGGGATTTCAAAATTCCAGTAATGTAAGTAAGTCAAGTCCATGACTTACATCTAAACACAGATATCGGAATTTGCGGTACCACTGTACCAGTAATAGTGCAAAGTCATACAAGTGATGTCAAAAGGCTTTTCTTAGAGCTATACGTCACAATACTCACTTATTCCTCCTCCTCTTCTTCTTCTTCCTCCTCTTCTTCTTCCTCCTCCTCTTCCTCTTCCTCCTCCTCTACGACCTCTTCCTCCTCTTCGGGTTCAGGCTCGTACTGAGGCTCATCGTCCTCTTCAACTTCGGCCTTAACGTCCTCCTCGCCTTCGGGGGAGTCGGTGTCGCCCTTCTTCTTGCCGGGCCTCTCACCGAACCACTTGGGCAGCCTCGCTGTTTGTCACATGTTGATATTAGACTTACAAGCACAGTAGGTGAAAAGCAGAAAGCGACAGTTGCCTTGGAGTAACTACTCTGACTCAAGTAAAACCTCTTTTCAATGCCCTTAGTGGGAGCTCTAAATACTATGATTTTAGAAAACTTCCTTTCATATTTTCTGCGTTCATTCTATATTACTTTCAATAAAGTTAGTTTTATGACAGAAAAAGGTCTTTTCATATGACCTTTTTGGCATTGGGAATCACAATTATGCATACACACATAACATCACGCCTTTTATCCCGAAGGGGTAGGCAGAGGTGAACATTACGGCACTTAATGCCACTATACAATGTAACACCCACTTTTCACTATTTATGTTAGTCCCATGTAATAGGGGGTGAGCCTATTGCCATATACCGGGCACATTTCCAGACTCCGTGCTACTACTGAGGTTTTTACAAACCCAGTAATACTTTGCCCGACCCGGGAATCGAACCCGATACCCCTTGCCCGGCAGTCGCACTTGCGACCACTAGGCTAACGAGGCAGTAAATTCTTAGTTAAGCCGTACTTTTTAATACAAGTAGGTAATATGTCATTAGGTAATATTTATTGTCATTGTACATTCGGTTTTCAAACGATTATTTACATAGGAGGGATCAACATGCAACAAGATTTTGACAAACTTGTGCGCATTAATGAGCATTCATTGGTCAGATGGTTTTGGTACATTGTAATTTGAAACATACTGTTTAGTAGCGTAATTCGAATTTAAACTGTCAACCTTTGGCGAATTAACTCAACCTATTATTTTTGTCGTAAAACAACCGAAAATAGTTGTAGATAGATATATCATGACGCGCAGCTGTGGACTATACTGCTATTTTTGGAAGATGTTCACAAATAGTACTTACTCTTCTGCCTGCCACCGAACTGGTCGGCCCTCTCTTGCCACACCTTCTCGAGGAAGTCCTTGTTCAGTTTTTCAAGGTCCTAAAGGAATCGTTAACACAGGGTAAATACAATGACAATGGTACAATAGGAGATGCACACGACCGGGACTCGAACAAGGAGAGAGAATATTATGTAGCTGTAGAAATATATTACTCGGTGAGAATTTACTACAGATGAACTCAGAAATATTCATATGAAACAATTTGAGATTTTTGTTCCGTAGTAAACAACCACTCGTGTATATTTCCACAGCAGAGTGAGGTAGTTGTGGGTCACAAATGGAGCATAACACGCCGTGTAGACATGCGTCGTGGGGTAACATTGGGGACACAACCGCCACACGTGGCGCTCTCCTCTTACTTTTGGTGCGGTTCATAAACTCTGCCATCTTCTCGTTCCATATTTTATCCATAAACTCTGCCAATTGAGTATCCAAACCCTGCGTTTAAATGACATCATCAATATCAGGTTCCGTAGACGGAAACTTCATGCATTTGTGTGCGTACACTATCTTTGCCCTGCCATGTTAACAAATTATTTTCATTGCCTAGTTGTACTATTTTAAGTAGCCAGATGTTTCCCGAAGATATGTCTCATAATTAAAATCGTTACTTCATAACGATGAATTAAATAGATGTGAAAGTGACCTGAATCGAGTGCTTGGCATAAGTCCAACTTATGTGGGACAGAATATAATAGTTTTAGTTTCTAACGTTTTCAGGAAATTAATGCGAATTTGATTTCCAAGCAACGCATAGTTTGGATTACTTTGGCTGCAGAATGTGGGCGTATATTCGAGAAGTAGTGTGGCAATACTTACACCCTCGAACAACTTCTTTTTGTCGTCGTAAGACCTTGTGTCGACACGTCGCTCGTACTTGGACGCTACTTGGATTTTGGGCTGAAAATGAATAATGATGTTAGCAATTATGACTATCCCCAAATATCTAACGTTTTGTATTGAGTATTAAGTAATGATTATGCTTACCGGGTGCTTGCCTGTGAGTGCCTCAGGGTCGAGACCCTTTTTGAGGGCCTTGTGTCTCAACTGTTGCTTCTGTCTTTCTTTGAGCTCTTTTAACTGTTGACAAAAAGGTATGTTTAATATTCATATCTTTTGCAAATACAAAATGCTACATTTATTAAACTTATAGTTGTTCAACTTACGTCATAGTCCTGCCTCTTTTGCCTCTCCTCGAGATCGTATTTCTCGGTCTCGAGTTTGATGATGCACTCCCAGAGTTCTGTGGCCTTCTGTCTGAGCTTCTCAACGGAGAGGTTCTCGATGTTCAAGGGCTTGATGCGGATGGACAGCGAGATCTTCTTCTCCTCTTCAAGCTGCTCCTTGGTCTTGTTGCGTTCCAATTGAGCGTTGCTAAGGCCGAACTGTAAGCAAAGTTTAATTTCGTTGGATGATTCAAATCGACTCCGGTTTTCCCGAGAACTGCTCAAATTACGCTGTGTATTATTTACATAAGATGCGCTGAGATAAACAGTTTGTGCATTAGGGAAAATTTGTTTATGTTCTCAGAACACTTGAGTAATTTATTTATACTGAACAGTGATAGTTTGTAGGTACTTACGTTATCGCTCTTCTTTTGGATGGTGAAGTTGGGTCCGGTCTTGCTGGATTCTTTCATGGCCTGGAGCATAGCCTGGCGCTTCTTCTCGGCCTCCTCGAGTCGCTGCCTCTTCTCTTCGATGTCGCGTTGTTTCTTCTCTTCAACTTCGCGAACTCTCCTTTCTTCCTCCTCCTTCTTCTTCTGGGCGAGGCGCTTCTCTTCTTCAGCGCGAGAAACCTTGAATTGTTAGAACACGTTTAATATAGCAGTGATATGACTCGTGTTAACATTGTACCATTCATCACATGATAGTTGTTCGATTCTGCTGTAGACGAACCTTGCGCTTGGCCTGCTTCTCCTTGAGGCGTTTGAGCTCATCTTCCTCCTTAGCCCGCTGTTTGCGCCATTCGTTGATGTATTCCTTCAACTGCTCATCCAAGTCCGACCGCTTCTGGTCTTGACGCTGTTCATAAAAGACGAATTACGTTATTAATCTTTGTTACCCTTCACAACCAATGTTTTTATGATAAGGAACTGAGTGGTTATAATTACCTTGATGAATTCTGGGTCTCCCTCACCCCTGTAAACACAGATGAACCATATTAGTCAGATCGCCATGAAATATGTTTGTGTTAATGTTAGAAACCGTTGTCACGGTCACAATACATATAACTTCTGTTACGGTGATTTGAGTTTTACGGTAACTCGTTATAGTTAAATTTCCGCTGTTACGCTTTTACATCGGCGTGTAAGCAGGGACATCAGGTACTGTACATATTGTTAAAGTTTTAGCTTTATATTTGTGAACTGAACAACTACGTGACAACATTACTTGTTAACATATTATTGTTACACGATTCATAATTCTTCTTCTTTCGGAGCCATATTTGATGTACTTTTTTAGATAAATTAATGTTGACTCCATCCATGTAAATTGTATTTAATTCATAGTTGTGTAGTTTTGTGTTTGTAATGGCAGGTATTATTGTTTGTTGTGGGTTCATGACAACATTTATAATTACCATGGCTGTAGTAGACGGACATGTACACATATTACGACACGATTACATTATTTATTACAAGGTAGGTAGTCATGCACCGATGTCTTGTTATTTCTTTCATGCAATAAATCAAAAATAAGTCAGGGCAACTCGAGCAGTTGCCCGTTGACCGACATTTTGTTTGTTTGCAGAATGGCGCGGGCGCAGCACAGCACCGTTTTCTAAAATAGAACACCTACCAACCGATATAAAAATAGCAGCCGACGTCGGCGTGCGGTTGTTCATTCGCCGAACGATCGTCTGCTCGGATACGAATACGATAAATTTGGGAAACGTTCGTAAAAACATGCGCCCGCGCCTTATCTAGTTAATGATAGGATTATAGTTAGTGACACCACAGAGAGCGGTGCAACTTACGCGATCGATGGTCTACTCCTAGAAACAGAAAACAACAATCAGCCTTCTACTATTACCTTTTACAATATTCTACTTCTTATTGCAAAATTCATTGTTCGTAATCAAAATAAGCGGTGACAATTAGTGTATTCTGCGCATATACGATACAAACACAGCACAAGCCAGTAGCCGTTGTCATCAAGATTTTGAATTTTGCCAAAAGGACCGTACCTCGTTTTGCTTAAGCAAAATCACTAGTTGGTATAAGATTCGTTAATTTTGTGCCAATCAATCAAAGTGCCATAACAGTTCAGTGGCTAGAAGCGAAGCGGTAGGGCAGTTCGTAACTAGAGTTTACTTACTCTGGTTTAGGAGCGGGTCTTCATTTGGCAACGACGAGAGCAGCGACGGGAAAAGAAAAAATAAAACACGATTAAAAACTGTGCAGCCGCGAAGAAGTTTGTATTCCATTTGATTTACAAAAGCTTAGGGTTAAAGCCAAATTGATGTTCACTCACAACTTCGACAACACTCTGGTATTGTTCCACTTTGTACACGGACAAGATCAGGCACTTACTCGTCCTTGTTACTCTGATCTTTCCGATAGCATCAAATCAAACTCATGGTTCGGTTGGTTATATGGAAGATTCCACTGTTAGAAAGCAAGATCGACAGCGTTCAGCTCCTAGCATAAGTTGTAGGTAATCTGTAAGCAACGAAAGCGACCAAGTAAGCGCTACAAGCGTTAGGGTTGCCATCTAAACTTAGCCTAAAACGAGCGAAGCATGTGTGAGTGCCGGATCAACCAAAATGGCACGCCACTTACTTCCTGTAACAAAAGAGAGAACAGGGTTTGGTGAGGGCGTGCAACAAGCCCAAGATTGGGGGGTTCCAAGAAACTGGGGATCAAAACTTGCCATCATGCTCAAATAGTTCACGCTTATGTCCAAAAGTAAGACTATCGATGTACAATCTCATGTACTCCTTCGATCTAATAGATTTGGAAAATGATAGAATCGCCAAGGCAAAGTAAGAAATCAGGCCGAGAGAAGCTGAAGTGTTCCAAAACCAAACAGTTTCTAAGAGAACTAATTTCAGGGAATACGGGAGAGACCGGCCGCGCTGTACTGATATACTTACGTCTCTTGGACTTCTTCTTCTACTTCCTCCTCCTCGGAGCCACTGTGGAATAGATAGGAATGCAGTGAACGGACACATACAAGGACTCACAGATACAGTGTTCTAGTTAGCACAGTGTGTACACATATAACAGAGGGTTATACATTGCAGTGAGTACAGGGGAAACAGACTGGGTGTACTATACTACACGTTGGAGTGTAACTTGATTGCATAAGAATGTAACTTGTATCTGTGTGATTGTTTTGTGTAAGCAAAGATATATCTTACGTTCTGAGATCCTGACTGTTAAAATATTATTCTAAATACTTACGAGTATTCTTCTTCGTCAGACATGGTGGTAGTTTATTTAATCTGTAAAACAAACATTAAGTTTTATATAACAAATCAACATGCAAATCATTTTCGATATCATCTGCTAACTTGACATTACCGCTTCCTGGGTGATGCAGGAAGAATAAAATTCCAAGTGTTAGAAACGGTTCGACGAACGATTGATAGTTCGTTGGCACCTTTCGGGGACAAATACAGTACTAATTGCAAGTCACAGTTGCATGTAAGCAGTAACTATCAGGTTGCCAATATCGATAGATGAATATCGGGTCTGTTTACATGAGGCGTGACGTCATAACATAACGCAGAATATATTGGCATCGCGTCAATAGATGCATCGATTAACATTTTATCGACGGCTCGATTTATCTAGCATCAGTGCATACACATATGTTTACATTTGCCTCCCAAAATAGACTAGTAGTGTTTTCTAAATAGCCACCCAGATGTACCTACATTTGAGCAAAATGACTCTGTGTGCACTGTGTGCAAATTTCTATTCAGTGTTCTTGGCTTCTGTACCACTTCGAAAATGTTTGAGACTATTACAAGTTCTATGACTTCGTAGTTTAATTGACCCTTTGGTCTACCGATGTCAGTCTGCTACTGGATTTGATTCGGCGGCCAAGCAAAATGTTTAGATTTAGAGAATGTTTGTAAAGATTTTGCATCTGAATTTGTGTCCGACGATGACAAACGTCTCACTAGGGCACCTATCAATTGATTGGCGAGGTTTAAAGTGCATGTTCTTGCCCCAGAGGGTACTTTGGAAGATTAAACGAATTTCTTTTTAATAATCAATTCGAGTTTCATTTATTTGCTTTTATTAGACTCGTGTATCATTATGCTATTTAATAGCGGCTTCAGATTCAGACTTTATTTATCAAAATAGTTATGTCTTCAACTCATTCATTAACTGAAATAGATAGTAGCATTCCAATAAATGTCGAACTTTTTCTTATGTGCCAACATTAGAAAAAATGGCGTGGGCGCGAAACATGAACGCGGGAAGCGTGAGATTTGTTTATGAAGTCTATCTTATTTTTAGCGGTTTTATCTTTCCTGCCTTCTAGCGTACACCTACATGTTGGCAACCGTTCAAAGAAAGTATAAAATTGGATTTCGCGTTCGACTCAATGTTGCCCAGGATTCGAATTTCGGTGAACCTTGAATTTTTTACAAATTTTCCGCGAATTTTTTTCTAGATCGCGTCGTTAAACAATTAATCAAATCAAAAATTTGTTGTGTTGGATTTATAAATATTTTATTTTAGAAGTTTAACTAATGACGATATTGTATTGTTTAGTTTATTTTATTGATTGATAAAACATCAATAATCAATCAGACCCACAGAGGTCAAGTCCTCGCATGGATTGAATAAAAATCGATCGTGAGTTTTTAACCAAGTTATGGTTATCCTTTAACCCGGCTTGAGTAAGGGTCTGAAGTTTTGTATTCTTTCAGTTTCAATAAAAAAGCTTTGGAAAATTCGCAAAGTGTTGATCGTGAATGTAAAGTTTTATTGTACGCTTAACACCTTGAACGCCTTGGGGGACAAGGTATGGATTTACCCTCACCGGTATTTTTTTTTCTGTTAAGTAACTTACATCAATGGCGAAAATAAAAACATGACATTAAACATTTTTTTTTAAGTTGTGTGTGTACTACCTTTTCATTTATGAGAAAAACACAGACTTAAGTATTTAAAATTATGTTCTTTCGATTATCTATATTAGGTACCTATATTTGTAACAGGCATCGTTCAGTATTATTTACATGTCGAATTTAATCAATTAAATCAAAATGTAAGTCAAACAAATTAAGTTAGTTGGGCGCTTTTCCTCGTAAGGCATTAGGGCATTACTTTGAAACTATGACATAAATTATTGGCTTTAGAAATATTCGACTGACTTTGAATGACATCGCACTATGTTTAAGGTAAAATGCATCTAACGATAACTTGTGAAAATGTAACAGTTGAGGTCAAAGTAAAATGGTCATATTTTTCGGGTATAGTGTGTAGTGTAAATGTATGTATAGTTGAAAAAATGTGGATTTTTGTCAAAAATGTGTAAATTATACGTTGGTGCGATCCTGATACATCCACATAGAGTATCGCTGAAACATTATGCGTGCGTGCATTGCGCGCGAGTCGCGGGCGGTAACGTAATCCGGCGCACTATACAAGGCGGTTGCTTCTATTTCAGCGTGGCGACGCCCGCACCCGTCCGCATTTGGCACATACCGCGCGCGTATTTTTAGACCAGCCTCCTTACAAGCAGTCTTTTATCTTCGACGTTTCCGAACTTAACATCCACAAGGATTCCCGGAACACAGTTATCCTACACACTATATGCCCGCTGGGCCCGTCACTGGCACTCTCACGGCACGGCACTTACGTCGCACGGGTGGAAGACGGTCACTCAGTCACGGCACTGGTTCTTCGACCGGCAGCACAGCGACGTTGGAATGTGGAGTCCGCGGCGACCGGGGCGGCTCTGGCCGGCGGCGGGCGGCCCAGCAGCCGCACGCACTCGCCCCCCCTGCGCCCGCCGCTATATTTAGCGCCGGTCATTTTTGAGCCGACGATTGCGAGCCAGCTCCGGTTTCTAAAGGGAAACTGACTGTCCTGCTCGGCCCGCGTACATGCCTGCAGGTGCAACGGCCACAGGAGGAAGGAACTCTACTGGCCTCGGTTGCTGAACTCAAAGCAGTAGCAACACCTGCCACCATCATGCTGATCCAAACTCGTAATAGTCCCAAATAAGTATATTGTGATCAGAAGTCTTAAAACTAAGCAGTGCTCCATGTTTGTGAAAACAATCTCCCGAAAGGCACATATCCAGACTTCCGTGGTCGATATGATCTAACTGGTACGGTGCACATAATACGGATGAAGTGCGAGGAGTTAAAATAAATGATTGCTTTACAATGCAGTTTTAGACCGACAGTGTTTATGTATGTTTTACATGACTTACAGGTGTGTGAGTATGAGCCGACGCCGATCTGTTCGTCAATGTAAGACGAGCGGAGAGGAGCAGGCCTGACTAAAAGCTTACCGAGAGAATCGCTACATTTTTATATTTTGCTTAGCTTCGGGAGATTGTCATTTGGTGGGGAGTTCGATTGTTTCTATGCATTTATTACGAACGCTTCGGACGCCACGCTACGCGAAGGTGTGGTCCACGCGGATGGAACTGCGTATGTCGACATAAATCATACTGAAAAGTTGAATAGGTAAAAGTGTCGTCGATAGCGCGCTTTCATTTTCGCAAGAGCTGTCTTTGAATGGCTGGTCCTGGGTTCAATTCCTGGATTAGAAAAAATACGGTGGGGTTTTACAGTTTTATTAGTAGGTAAATGCTTAGTTATTTCATCACAAATAAGCAGCGTTCTATAGGTACGTATCCAGGATACGCATCTGGAAATTGTTAGGCACAAAGCATAGGTAATTATAAAGTTGTCGGGAATAACTTTTTAACATGCCACGTTGAGAGTCTTATTAAACTGAATATTGACAACCTAATAGAATTGTCACAAAAATTATTACTGTTTAAGGGTTCTAGGTTCGATTCCTAGGTCGATTAGTGTAATATTATATTGGCTTGGACGTGGAAATTCTCGTTATACTACGTTGTCTAAAATCGTGCCCGACGTATAACAAAAGGATCTTAATTTCATGCGAAATAGCATCTTACTAATCCCTACGGATGGAGAGCAGAAAAAAACCTAGAAGTAGAGTGTAGTAAGCAGAGATTAAACTGTAAAACAAGAGCGTTACTAAGTACTAGATATTGCTCATATCACCCTGGTTGACCTGGGTATGTACCCATATTTACTTTTTTACCTCTTTTCGGGGAACTTCAATTGCAATGTTCAACTTGTACCATTTTGTTTGGACAGTTCGTTGACCAGACTCTAGCAACCTAGATTGCATTGAATCTTACATTCACACCCTATTAAAGTCATATTGTTTTACCAAATGAGTGATGATGATGAGTTGGTTACCAAAATGTTCCTCTAAAGACTGGTAACTTGGTGTAGTGTCCATGGGCGTCGCGTGCTTCGAATCAAGTCTGATGGTTTGCCTCCCTCCTATTATATTTCCTCATATATATTCAAAAGAGTTGTATCGAATGCGAACCCATGAAGAAGCCCGTAAAGGCTGGATTGTGGAGCTGGAAGGACGTACGTTTATCATAATAAAATTCATGAGGAAATTCTTGTACCAAATGATTCTAAATTCTAAAGTGCGTAAAGTAAAAAGGTATAAAGTGGAATACCTTATTTTAAAATAAACTTTTATATGTAGTATTTTTTTTCTCCTTTAGCAACCGAGACTCCAAAGAAATCTTTGTAATCTGTGTAAACGGGATTACATTACGTGACAGACACTGACATTACTGACAGACAGAAGTTCAAGTTTGTCATTGTCACTTTTTGGTTACGTTATGTTTACGTTTGTGTTTTGATCAGAAAATATCAAATTATGTAAATAAAAAATCACTTGTTGAATAAATTAATTCAAACCTATCTTTAAAAAACACATTACAATGACTTCCTTAGATAACATACAAGACACTTCAACACCAAAACGCCGAAGAATGGGCACTGGAAGAATATTTCGCTCCAGTCTGAACAAAAGTAAGCAAAACAATGATTTACTAATGGGCTTTAGTCCAGTAATGATTCCTAAACATAACGATGTTGAGAACAATACCACAGAAAGATGTGATTCTCCGCTTCTGCCGTGTAACCAAGTAGAATTTCGAAGTATTTGTGATTCGGAAAACAATAGTTCAATTTGTGATATTCCACCCTCCCCGGATGTGTTACCGGCTTCAGTTGGAAACGAATGGGAGTCATTAAACATATGTACTAGTCATATAAATGAAATTGATGAAATAAGTACTGAAGACAGAAATAATCAAGTATTATCAGAATTTATAGAAGATATTTCAGATGACATGTTTCAATCGAAATTAGAACAATCTCACATAAAAGAGATTGACAAGAAATTCACGGATAATATTGAAAAGAGTTTTGATATGGTAAATCAATCAATAAGTAATCTAGATGAAATAATGAAGAACAAAAGTTTATTATTTGAAACTAGAGACTCATTCTTACTTGATGTGAAGGAAGATCCTACTCAACACATACAGTCTAATCTAAACATCAAGAAAAAAGAAGAATTTAAAATGGAGAACAGTTTTTATGGTTTGCCAATGATTGCTAAAGGATTGTTTAAAACTTATAGGAACATAGAGAAATTCTATGGTAAGTAATATAAGTTTTATCATAAACTTAATATTCCATTATTAAACTTAATAAAAGGCTTCTTTTTTAAATAATTTAGAGTGGCAAGAAGAATGTTTGAACTTGGAAGCAATACATGAAAGGCGGAACTTGATTTATGCTCTGCCAACAAGTGGGGGTAAGACCCTAGTGGCCGAGGTGCTCATGCTGAGGGAAGTACTGAACAGAAAGAAGAATGCCTTGTTCATACTGCCATTTGTGGCCATCGTACAGGAAAAGGTAAGACACTTAAACATCCTACTAACATTGTAAATGCGAAAGTTTGTTTGTTCCTCTTTTACATCAAATTGGCTTAAGGGATTGGGATGAAATTTGTAATAAGAGTAGGATTGGGATGAAATGTGTTATACCAGAGTATAACACATAAGCTACTTTCTATCCCACGCGAATGTGGCTGAAGCTAGTATCAGATAATTGTGTATTGAACTAAGTTGTAAATATAAATCTTGTTAGTTATTGCATTTATAGTTCAATAATAGCCGACCAGGGTGCTTACTCTTGAAACCAATGTCAATGCAATTTCAATCCAATAAAATCTCAATAATTATTCAATGTCAAAACTATACAACCCTTATCATAGCTGTTAAAATAGCTATCAGGGTACGGAATATAAAACCAAACTCAATACCATTTAGTTGATTCAATATTGATGCAATGGGCGCTAGTGTTACAACTCAGTATGAAAGTTCACAATACCAATGTCGATCGATCGGAATTGGACTCAAACATTGTCAATTTTGAAACCAGACATAAAAGAGTGATGTAAAGTTTTCCAAGATGGTGCTATAGCACCACATATATATTTATAAATATAGGAAACCCGAAACATACTGATGTTTATTTGAAACCACTGGTGCACACTAATGAAATAGTAAGTTTTTGTATTGTAATTTTAGATCTGGGCTTTATCAACATTTGCTGTTCAATTAGACTTCTTAGTTGAAGAATATGCAGCAGGCAAGGGTCACATACCACCTAAAAAGAGACGGAAAAAGAACAGCATTTACATAGCAACTATTGAAAAAGGCCTGGCTTTAGTCAGGAGTTTGATTGAGCTGGATAGATTGCATGAAATTGGACTTATTGTGGTAAGATTTGTCATTTTTCTAACTTCTGAATGTTTGTGAGATAAAAGATTAAAAACAAATTGCCTCTTTTTAAAGCTATAAATGATATCGAGATATAGCTTTAGACATATGATTTTTGTAACATATTGATTTATTGATTTAATAACCAAGTCTTGTACATTTTGTAGGTAGACGAACTACATTTAATTGGCGAGAGTGGACGTGGCGGAACGTTGGAAACATTATTAACGACTGTCATTTTTACCAACAGTAAGTGCCATTTACCAATAGAATGTATAAAATATGTAAATCAATTCATCGCATTTCGTGAATAGACTCTTAACTTTAACACTTATTAATAAAATCTAAAATCGGTCAAAGAATAATATATCCACTTATAAATCATTTTCTCTTATCAGAGGACATCCAAATAGTGGGCATGAGTGCAACAATAGGCAATCTACACGAGATCGCACAGTTCCTCCACGCCGACGTGTTTCAACGACAGTTCCGTCCGGTGGAGCTGACGGAGTACGTCAAATTGGGGGACATGCTACACAAGATCGTGTGGGGACCTGAGGGCGTTGAGTTTGTACCAGATAGGGCGCTTGCTTATAACGTAAATATAAGACATATTGTGACACTTGCTTTATTTGTGAAAAATCGCGAGCTTCATAAAAAATCTTACCTTAGTGTTCCCTAAACCTGTAGTATTGTTTTAGTTAGTCTTTATATTCTAGTCTTCTTTGCAACCGAATCTGTTGCAATGCTAGTTTCGAGGATTCGATCTGGGATCAGACAAAAGATTAGCTTTTTTTTAGAGATCTTAGTACAAATTAGGCTCCTATAAGAATATAATGGCGAATATAAGAGTTCCGTTGGTGCAACTATTCCTATGTAACATTTACTAGAGGTACTTTATTCCAGTACTCAGCAGCAGCAACATCCTTAGACCCTGATCTTATCGGCGGGCTGGTCTCCGAGGTGGTACCTAAAGGCTCTGTCCTCGTATTTTGTCCTACAAAGCGCAACTGTGAGAACGTCACTACCTTATTATGCAAGTTACAAAGACGGTCAGTATATGTATAGTCGTCATGTTAATGTTACTTGCGCTCAAGAGATGTGGGAGAA